TTACTCAAGTAATATTTTTAGAGGAGACTTTAGCTTTTACCAAAGTGTTTTTATGATAAGATACATGTACTTTTACTCAAGTATCACTTTGAGGTACTTTATACAACACTGCTTATAAACCTATAGAAAGCTACATTTTTTGTCTCATTTTGCCTTTTTTTGTTGTTGTTTCTCATCTTTTTGTCTTCGCTAACGTTGATTAGCTGCAGCAGCCATCTTAAACTGGGCTGAATCTAAAAGTTAACAAGTTTTAGATTAATAAAAACCACTGATGGAGAGGACTGTGAACAGAACGGAGGGAGGGGAGAGTCGTGAGATGCAGTGGGGTGAGGAGGAGGGGGGGGGGGTTGGAGGACCAAGCTGTTGTTTGTATTAATCTGTAAATTTTCTCAGATGACGCAAAAGACTGTGACTTGATCTTCACGTCCCTCCTGTCCCGGTCGCTCCTGATGCCTCGCTCTTGTCAGACGGGAGACATCAGCAGGTAGGACTCCGTCCCTCCATTCATTCAGCACCCACACACAAATGTTTTTTTTTTTTTTTGTCATTTGAGTTATTTGAAACCTTTTAATATCATTTGTGATTACAAGCTTTTGTCTCTCTGGAGGAAACAGATCATCAGAGCTTTAGAGAAGGTTTTTATGAGTCATCCGCAACAGTTTTAAAGATGCATCAAATATTCCCGCGGACATGTGGAAAATCTTATGACATCTGTTTCATAAAGAAGAGGATCAGAAAGGTTTAAAGCAGAAACAAGGATTTTCCTGAATGTCTGCTGACTGAACGAGGAGATGGGTTTCCTTTACGGAGACGGTAGGAAGTTCAGCTCTGATAGGTGAACTGTGGCGGCGCATCAGGAAGGAGAAAACGGGAGAAAAAGGTGGAGTTTATTAATAGCAGGGCTTTGGGAGGGTGAAGAGAGCAGATGCAATAGACGGTCTGTGCTTAAGGAGTTCAAACAGCAGATTAATACATCGAGATTATCATCCGAGAGAGGAGGGGAGGGTGTGTGTCATGTGTTCACACACACACACACACACACACACACACACACAC